GCTACAAATATATTAAGAATCGTTAGTCGTATTTTAAAATTGAAAAGTGAACAAATTGTAGAAATCGAGCACATTGATTCATGATGTACAGTGTATTATTATAATATAATATACATATTATGTACATTATCTGTATTCATAGGCGCAATTTCAACTTTTGACTGGGGGGGGCTGAATATATTAAAAGCAAGTAGACCATTGCAATATAGCATATTAAAACTGTATGTCCTATGTTTTTTTTTTGGTGGGAGAGGGGATAAGGCTAAGTTTGGGGGGAGGGCTTAGCACCCCCCCCCCCAATTTTCGCCTATGTCTATATTCTGTTTGGAAATATAATGGACCAGCTAAAAAACATATGCGTTTTCTTCATTGTCAAAGAAATATTCTCTGTAATGTTTATTGTTTATACTTAACACGTTCGTCTGATTGCAACTTTTCATCCTCAGTTTTATTTCGATTTCGTATTGATCATTATTTCGAACAAAATAGTCACTTTATAATAACAATAAATAATAGTTCAATAATTTGTATATTACATTATTTATTTTCTTATACGTGATTTTAAAACAGTTTAAATTAATAATTTTAGTTTGGAAATAACTAGTACAGGAAAATGGAAACCGCAGTAGTACCTAACCTAACCTACGGCGAATACAACGGATATCACAAATATGCCTTCTGCAGAAGTCTTATACGGTAATCTTTCACAAAATAGTCACATTGTTCCATTTATGGATTATATTATAATATTATAGTGCAATGGTGGCAAATTATTATTTACGTGTCAAAAATTATCTCTATTTTCTAGCGTGCCATTAAATTATGAAAAATATTACATATCATATAATATTCAATACTGTAAGAAAAAAATTATCGTAAAATTCGCTATCAAATTAAAATTTTTTTAATCTCTTCTAAAAGGCGTCAATGATACTGAAAAATTACTAACATTGTGATGGAATTTATTATTAAAAATAAAAATAATATATGTAATATGAATTTGAATATTATTTGGTCACCTTGGGCACGCTTACTTGTCAGTAATATAAAAAAATATTATATGTTGAGATTTGAAATTCTTTTTTGTCAATACCTACTTTTATAAGTTTATTGTTATTGTTTGATTTTGTTTATTTCAGTGTAGGTATAAGCATTGTACTTGCACACAAATTATAGGAAATATGCATGCACATATGCACTTAAAATAACCAAAATATGCACAAAAATATGCAATTGAATATTTTTTTTTAAATTAAAAAATTTGATTTATTCATTTAAATTTAGACCTTCTTTTGTAATTAGTCTTTTTTTGACTACAATAACACTACCAACATTATACTACTGAAGTGTATGTTCGATTTCGTTTTCTTCGTCTTCTCCTACAATAAAAAAAGGTTGGGTTTTTCTTTAATATATTAAATTATTATTAAATATAAAAACGATGAATTGTTTACCTGTAAAGTTTGACTGTACAATTAGACATTAGAAAAGAGATATTGAACAACGCATGAAAATAAAAAAAATAAAGTTAACATTTAAAATAAATGTACTTAATGTAAAACAAAAACTGCGTAAATATGCTGTAAATAACAATTAAACTGCCAACATTTGTCAAATATGCATTTTGCTCAGAAAACGACAAAATATGCAAAAATATGCAATTAAAATTTTTGTATTTCAATCCGTTATGACTTAAAACAAATTTAAATCTTACTTGGACTATTCTGCAGTCATTATTAAGCAATATGCAAATGCAACAAGTCCCGAACCCTATTTATGAACATCATAACTAATTAAAGCTATGCTATTATAATATAGTATTAAATAAAACTGTATTACACGACAGAGGTAATTTAGTATAAATATGTAATACAGTTTATTGTGCATCTATACACAGCAATTTTACCGAATATTTACCTTTTAAAAATGTAATTTTGTGTAACAGTTACAATAATATTGACACCCTAACTAAATTAATTTATAATTTTAGGGCTGACGAATTTTTATTTACCCTGGAACTTAGGACGGCCCTAGCTATAATGTATGTTTACCTACAAGTAGTTACATAATATTAATTATTATTATTGAGTGTTGGCTACAAACATAATTTAAAACGTTAAAAAACATTTTATTCTTATGTTATGTTATAATAAATAACTACCTATGCTGGCCAAATACTATGTCTGGAAACCAACCTATTTTCACTGTTTATTTATTATTAATATTTATATTGTTTCAGTTTTGTTCCAAAACCTTTTAAATTATATAAGTATATAAATTTTTACTTTCATGAATTTTATTTATATTTTTCCGATTGCTGTTTTAATTTGTAATTTCTTAGTATTCAAAATTGTTTTTAACTTTCCTTCTTTTAGTTTGTGAAGGATTAATTGTTCATTTTATTTTCAATATAAAACCATTACATAGTTTTAAATTCAAAGATCTACAAATCAACAATGAAAGCAGCTTTCCACAATCAAAGGTTTTTTTCATCAGAATACGGATCTAAAATAGTTGTATGTATGTACCTCAATGATTAATACATTTTAAACAATAATATCGAAAAGATATTGAGTTGGCGTGATAGGTAGTAAGAAATTGTTTTGATGTAAGCAGTGTCGATTTTAGTAACTGTTATATAAGTTAAAATTTAGACGAAATTACATTTTAAAACCAAGAATTACGATTTTAGTTGTACCTAATTTAAAAATATTATTCGTGGGTATATGAAACTCTTTATTAACCTAACCTATTATTATATTTTATGCACACAATGACATTTTCCAATGTCATTTTTTTGCCAAAAATGAATTTAACCTGTTGTTGTACTAATTTAGTTATGCCATATACCTAGTAAAATAAATTAGGTACTTAAATCACTTGAATAATATCAACAAATATAAGTACCCCTAATAATATTATTGGCTGACAGACCGTCTTAGCTCAGAATCGTTTTTCGTATTGGATACAATGATTTTATATATCATACCCCGTCGTATTTACTTATCAAAATAATTAGACTGTTGAACAAAAATATTCTGATGATTCATGCTTGTTTCATTTTTTGAGTTGCAATTATTTTGTAACATTTCATGTGTCTCATCTCCTAAACGGTTTATTCTGGATGTTAATACTTCAAGTGATTATTGTGATACAGCCCAGCTATTAATGTTATTATTAATTTTTACTCATATACATGTAATATATTGATAGTAAGTACTGTGGTAATATTGTATTTGATGTAAAATATGACTGAACTATAGTAAATTATCGTTGAAAAAAATACAAGTGCATTACACAATGAGATTAATCTGGATATTTTTGTAGATTTTCATCATTTAAATCTTAAGACATCAATTAGAAAACTGGTCTATTTATTAATCTATATAAAATATATGTTATTAACTTGTATCTAGATATCACTCGACACTGGACGTAAGTCAAGGAGTATGGACAGCTCAGCCAAGGTAAACTACTAGCTAGGTACCTAAATCAAGTAAGTGAGATAATATTAAATAGATTTTGTAAATATAATATAGCATATAGGTATGCAATATTATGTTCGCACACCTGTTTACTAAAAATCAAGTATTTTTTGTATTTATTGTAATAGTATACATTTCCACATTGAGTCATTTAGGGGTAAGAGCAATTGAGGGCTAAGTTTCTTCGCTTCATTCATTGTTTATTCGAACGTGTTGTTTTCTATTTTTTAAGTATGAACTTAATAAATTCTGAGCCGTTCCATTGATACCAAGTGTGTTAACATTTTGTAGTAATATTTTATGATCTATAGTATCAAATGCTTTTGCTAGATCCAAGTAAACAGTTGCACATTTTTTTTTTATTTTCGAAAGAATTATAAATATAGCTTGATACTGTTGCAATTCCTTGTTTGGTACTTTTACCGGGTCCAAACCCGAATTGGGTACATGATAGAAGATTATTACTTTCAAGGTAATGGACTAATTATTTTTTAATAATTTTCTAATAAATTTGGCAATATTTTATATTTGTAAGATTGTGCGATAATTTTCAATAATAGATTTGTCACCTTTTTTTACACATTACTGAAATTTTAAAGCATTCCGGAATAGTAGATGTTGTTATAGCTAAATTTAAAATGTGTGATAATGGTTTAATCAATGAATGTAAATTTAATCTGCTTTCATAAGTTTGCAATTCTGTGTTGAACTTTGGACCGTATATATTTCTCAGTACCTTTCTTTCGAAGGTCATTCGCCGTTGGCTGTCTCCTTTGGTCAGTGATCATGTTTCGATCGTATTTGTGATTATTGGTCGTAAATGGCTATGATAAAATAGTGTCTTTGAGTTATGTGACTCTGTGAAAGTAGTTTTGATTTAAGAAGTTTAATTTTGCTATAGTAGCCCCGATGGCCGCATATTATTTGATAGTTGATTTATTCGTACCTGTCCTTGTTGCTATTTATGATAATGCTTTGGTACTTAAATACTTCCACTTTCTTAAAATTTTAATCATTTACTGTTAAAATATTATGGTCTATGTTTGAGCTTCTTCTTGCTTCCATTAAATATTTCGTCTTTTTCCCATTTACACGTATCCCTGTATTACTTAGCCCCATTTCCTGCAGAAGGCGAACTACGCATACATTTTTATTGTTACATCCTTTTATAAGACTTACTTACTTGTTAGGAATGCCTAGTTCTTCCAGTGTTTCTCATAGTTTGTCAATTCATTCATAAGCTTTTTATAGTCTATAAAGATTCTTAATCAAATTTCAGTTTTCAGTTGCAGTTCTTTATCAAATTTATAAAATGTAGCCATTATCTGTCTCAGTGTAACAATATGATCCAATGTCGATCTACGTTTTCTAATACCGCCTTGACATTAGCCGACTATTTAATTTATATATTTTCCGTTAGTGGATTGATGTTTCATAGAATAGCATACATTTCCCATAAAATCTTCGATAATTTCCATGTAAAGATTGGGATTGTGCCGATGGCATCCTAGCGGTCTAGATGAGCGGATTGATAACGAAGTGTAGTTCTTTGACGCACGTGTGGTTTGTTACGACGTGCTCGTCGTTGACGTACGTGCGGTTCGCTGAAGACGTGCCGTTCTCTGCGTTAACGGGCGGTACGCTGACGACGTGTGGTTCGCTGACGACGTGCGGTGCGCTGACGACGTGTGGTTCGCTGACGACGTGCGGTTCGCTGACGTAACGTGTGGTTTGCCAACGACGCATGCAAGCCCGGATTAAGGATCGATTGGGCCCCTATACACTATATACATATACACCTATACACTTAGTGGGCCCCCTTTCAACTTTAAATTAAAAATAATTGTATCATTACATATTAACGAATTTATATTACCGTATAATTTTTTACTATACAACATATATACAGGGTGTATCATATGTCATTGAACGTGTTTTTTTTTAACCATTATGAATCAATGATATGGAATTTTCTTAAAACAAAAAAAGACGTGTTTCTTTATTTTTAACAAGCAATTTTTTCACAAAATTTTCAACATTTATAAACACGCAGTTGTATCAATAATAAAATCGACTTTATTTTTTCAAATGGTAACCACTACATTTTTCGATGGATTCTGGTAAAACTTTTTTCTGAATATTTTGACAGTAAAATGATAAATTTTGGTTCGTTAGGTTAGGTTAGACTATGGTTCTTTAAAGTTTAGTTTAATATGCATTAATACTTGTAACTGAAATACCTAATTTATTAAGAGTTAAATATTTTTTTTCTTAGAACTACCTTTTTGTATACTTAAATAGTTAAATCGCTAATCTAAGATGCTCGAAAAAAAAAAAAAAACATATTTGTTGGCAAACATCATAGTTCATTATTTATAATAACTTTTCGTGGTATAAAACGGAGAACAATTTTATTTTATAATTTTATTATTAATAATAATTTACCTACTATACTTACCTACTTCAATAATTTTTTTTTTTTTTTTTGAAAACTGTATTTGACGCCTTAAAAAAAATATACATTGGGGAAACAGATGGGCCCCCAAAACCAATGGGCCCTGAGACCCCCCTTGACCCCCCCTCCCATAATCCGGGATTGGACACACGGTGCGCTGCAGCCGACTTCGTGCGGTTCGCTGACGACATGCGGTTCGCTGCGTAACTGGCGGTTCGCTGACGACGTGCCGTTGCGCTCAGGACGTTCGGTTCGCTGACGACGTATGGTGCCTTGACGACGTGTGGTTCAATGACGACGCTAGGTGCGCTAAAGAAGTGTGGTTCATTGACGACGTGTGATTCGCGTGATAATTTATACATTTTCCATTAGAGGCTATAGATATTCCCATTAGGTGCTTAATATTTCACACTTTCACAGACAAGCTATTTATTATAAAATCATTCATTTCACACATACAACTTACTGTAAAAGATTTTCTTAAAATGTGGACTATGCCTACCGGGGACACCACAATAAAAAAAACGCGCCACGTATAATACCTCTTGCGTTTAAACAACATGGACGATGTAATGTCTTACGTTTAACAAGCAAATGGTGGTGTGGAAATTTATGCACATCTTTGTCATCATGAATCGTGTGATACTAATAGTTGCAATAAATAATTGCAGAGACTTATTACATATATAAAAGTGATCTTAGTTTAAAATAATTTGGATTTAGAGATAATGTGAGATTCTAGGAAGAAATTTCACACTTTTCTAACTTTGTGAAGTGTTAGACAAAGAAAATGGATGATAATTTAGTTGTAGATTTAGATGAAAATTTTTCGCTGTGCATCGTCTCCGTACTATTCAATTTATTTTAATATTATTTAATTTAAGAATTTCGTTACTTTCTCATTTATTCCATATTTTTTTTCCATTTCAGGCTAGATATTTCCTCGAAACAGGTGTTATGCTTATTTTATGATATGTTTCGAACAGTTATTATTTAAAATGGTTGTAAAACACGTTGTACGGTCACCTAGAAAAAATTAAAACCGTGGACAGTTTGTTAGGTACTAGGTAGTAACAACACACAGTATGGAGGACAGTTTGTACTATTTGAGGTACCTAGATATAAGAGTGTATTTTTCAAATGAAAAAAAAAAAGATACAAGTGCGTATATATAGTACTGATATCACATTATCACATAATTTGTTATTACGAAACCCATGTAGTTAACAGACATAAATAATAATAATAACAATAATAATAATAGTTATAATAGTAAATTTGTAGTATCTATACAGCTTCATGAATTTTTAAAAAAATGCACTGTCAATTATAAGTCATACATCATAATATATAAATTTAAAAATAAAAATAATAAGAATAAGAATAAGAATAATAGTTAATAGAATATTTAAAAATTAAAAGTATGGCAAATTATTTCAAGTTGTTGTGTACCTATTTGTAATTATTTTATTTTCGTGCTGTGTACAGGCTTCGTGGATTGTGTTTTGTGTATTTTGGTTTTTTTTCTTATATTTTTGTTTAAATGACTAGCACATTCGTCCAATTGCCCTTCAGGAATCCAAAAGCTGATATACTTTTATAATAAACAATATTCAATTTAAAATATCAATCAATTGTAGTTTTATTAAAACCAAATAATAAGTAATATAGTCGTGGTAAATTGTAGTATCGCGAATTGACTCGTTGTAGTAGCTGATAATATTCGTGTAGTTTGTGTGTAATGACCGGTGCATAAGCGGCTCGCTCGGTCTCGACGGCTCTGGTACATCTAATGTGTATTGGAGCCCTGGCCTCTATATATACGGAGGCGGAGTCCTTTGAATTGAGCGGCTCGTGGCATGTAGGCGCCCTTGGTAGGTTGTAGTGGTTTGGAGCGTCTATTCTAGCTATGACCACTTTTGGGTGCGGTCGACGGGGCCGCCTTTCACATAAGTGGTTCTTGTTATTTTGAGCGTTTACATGAATTGCGTAATCCCATTACAGGATTTAACTTTGTTGTTTGGTTGTAGTTCATATTGTATATTGTACAGAGAGTAGGGGTTGTGTGTGGAGTGTATTGTGTCACTAAACTCATGTCTCATAGGTACTGATTGCGATCACGATTCGCGATTCAAAATTTTGAGCAATTCAATTTTATCTGATCTCCCGACTTTATTGATTCCCGGTTTATTTATATGGTACAAAGTGTCCGCAATTGATTTTTATCAATTTATTTTCACCGTACAAAGTGTCCGCGGTATGCAACTCAAACAATAGATAGTACACTTTCCGTTTACCAATTTTTAAGAACATTTGAAGTTGTTTAAATTTTTTCGATTTGGATTTTTTGCCGTAAATTAACGATTCTCATCCAACGATTTCCTTATTTTGTTTTAATTATTCGAAAAATTATTTATTATTTATACATGATAAGATTTTTTCACTATTTTGACTCGTTTTGTGTTATTTATAAACATTTTCCATTTTGAATTTTTTAGTTGTTTTCTATAAATGTCAATAAAATTTTTTTCGTTTCGTTATACAACTTGAAAATGTAATACGCAGCGTTCCTTATCAGTGATTTTAATAACACTTAAAAAATATTGAAGTTACATAATCATGATTGTTTTTATAATCAATTATATTTGAAATGTAGAAAAAATTAAATAATCGAATTCTCGAAAATGTGTAAATTATTTTGTACTAATTTTCAATTTTCGTAGCTTAGAAAAACAAGGTATACCATAAGTAGTTTATACGTTCACCGAAAAAATCGAAATTTATAAATACAGTATAAACATATATAATATATTAAGTTCAAATTTGGATGACACATTATATTTTATATAATTATATAATATAATATTTATTATTTATAATATGTTATAACTTATTTTGTTGAAATATTACTATTATTAATTATACTATTGTTGTATTATACTATTATACATTGTTTTATGCAAATTATAGGAATTAATTCAACTCAATGGCTAGGTTCCGTAGACCCTATAGTAGGTATAATGGTACAATAGGTATAATATAAGATATCTTTGGCAGTCTCTGCTCAGAATCCTTTTTACACACTTTTCTTAAGTTCGCTTTCACGTCTGTTTGTCTGTTTGTCTGTAATCAAATCTTGCGCGCTCGATTTGAGGCACTTTTTGACGATGAAAAATTCTGAAAATGGGTATAGACCTTGATCTTGGATGACAATACAATAATCCGTAGTCATTTTGGGACCCGGACCTCCAGGTCAGCGATGACGGGTGTGCAAAATCATCTCCGAGGAAAAAATAAAAAAAAATTTTTTTTTTAAAACACACTTTTCTAAAAAAACAATACAAAAAAATAATGAAAAATTAACTGAAGAAAAATTTAAAAGTGTGTGGTGCTCTTACACTTGAAATATACTCCCAGTCACTATCTTATAAACAGGATTGAACATAGAAGTGTATGTGAGACTTAGCTCGGCTTTAAATGTTTTGTATGATGCACCACACACTTTTAAATGTTTCATCAGTTAATTTAGTATATAATAATAAATTATTCAATTCTCTCCTAAAATATTAACAAATCTTTAAAAATTAAACTGTATTTTTATTTTATTTTTTGGAAAAAAAGTAATTATTCAATCTTTATTTAAACTTTTTTTTTCATATTGCCTATGATAATCATAGTAAATATCATGAGCTGTATGCTTGTATTCTTCAATTTTATCGGAACAAGGATATTTTTCAAAAAGTATAAATATGATCATCTTTCCCAAAAAATGTACAACAACCTTATTATGTAGCTTTACATCATGATCACAATATTATTTAAATATGGGGTAGGTATATATTTTTCTTGTAAGTAAAATATTATGCACTGTGTCTAGACGCTCGACCATGATAGGATATAACTGTATAAGATATTATATGGCAAACCATGGCGTCGTGCGTCCAGACTAAAATAAAATATCATTGAATTAAAATAAATGTATAGAATATTTATTTTCTTACTTATTTATAGTAGGTAGTTGAATTCAAACAGCACTTTAACGATAGTATAATGGACAATACCAGTTGAAGATCTAACGACATCTAGAATCTGAACACATTTAGAAAGAATAGTTATAATTTAAATTTATAGGTAAGTATATTGACAATTATTTTTCAAATCTTTTCATTATACCTACAATTCGCCCTTCGGCCATATTTTCATTCTGAATTATTTCTGAACTCGAATTGAAAATGTTGTAATGACATTCTTCAGGACATCCACTGTATTATAAGTAGGTAGCTGATAAACG